AAGTGATAAGGTCATTTATAAAAATAAGGAAGAACCAAGCTGAAATAACTCTTCCTTGGCCAACACCTTGCTTGACACAATATGTGTCTGATCTCTCACCCTGGTAACAAACAAAGGATTCGCTATGAGTATAACAGTGATGTAAAAGATTCCAGGTATTACCGCTTGTACCAATTTCATGTAATCTATAAAACAATCCATCGTGCCAGATTCTGTCAAAGGCTTTTTCGTTGTCAAGAAAGGCAGAGAAAACAGCAGAATTTCTATGCATATAAAATTGAATACTTTCCGTGAGCGTGAATACAGACATAATGGCGCCATGTTGGCGTCGAAAGCCAAATTGTAACATATCTGGAAAATCTGGCCTTTATTTTGTTAATATATGTTCGATTCTTTTAAGAAGGAGCTTTTCAAAAAGCTTACCGAGACAAGATGTTAAGATGATACCTCTGTAATTTCGTGGGTCACTTTTGTCTTTTTTGCCTTTATATAGTGGTATAACCATACCGAGTCCATATTCCTTTGGGGCATATTGAAAGGTAGTGATAGCATTAAATAGCTTGCATAGGTGGGTGGTGATAAAGTCACCTGCAAAGATGATGTGTTCATTTGTAATTCTATCAGGACCAGGTGATTTGTTTTTTACTCAGACATGTAATGACATCTTTAACTTCACTGAAAGAGAAATCCTTTTCCAGTTCTTCATCATAGTCGTGATGGGAGTTTTTGATATCAGTAACCTGTTTAGACACATGGTCTTTAAAGTCAGAATCAAATTTCTCTGATACATGTGGTTGAGCTAAATCTGAGAAATGTTTCCCCCAAATTCTACAAATGTCAAGGGGTGTTGATCCACTCTCTTCCCAATAGGTAACAACAGGGACATTAGTAACAGTTGCTCTCTGTTTTCGAATATTTTTATGTAAAGAGTTTACATCCATTTCAGCTGAAACTTCGATTTCTTTCAGCATTTCATTTCTATTATGCCTTTTATACTATACTATACTATTCTATACTGTTGTCAATACGCTTTCATCAATTGTTACTGATATGTGTCACAACATGACAAGCACGCTATATCTCCTGGTCGCTGCTATTGATTAGCATGTTCATGGTTATATCGATATCTTTATACCTATGTTATAGTGCAAATACTTCACTAATATTTCACACACAAAAATATAATAACTATGATATTCGAATTTTATATTTGAATTCACAAACTACCATCACCATTATTTATCAAGGATGAATCCCCAAGTTCTCGGTCAACCCGAAGAAATTGCAAGCATCCTGATCTGCATGTTTCAACATCTTTATCTGGAATGTACCATCCAAGAAGCAGCGGACAACCGACAAGTTAACCTCAAGTTTAGAAAACAGCCAGCTAACACAGTGAGTGATGTCACATTAAGGCCGACAACCATGAAGTCACGTGTCAAATCGGGAGAGAGACAGAAAACGCCATAACATGTACATCCAGAGAAAATCGTTTTGCCGCCATCATGATGAAAGTACATCGCTGAGCCCGCGAAAGGTAAATACAGTCAGCATAAGTGTAGCAACTAGGCAACACCTGTATACAGTGATACATAATGTCAATCTGGGAATACCCTATCAGTTGACACTGGAGCCATGACAAATCCGACATCGTTTTCAAGTGTTGGATCTCCGACCTCACCGAGTAATGGGGAAGCTGCAACTTCTGTGTTGAAATCTGTAGCCACAACCAGCCGGCAAATGTCAATCCCACTTCCACTCGATACACAGAAAATGTTCTCAAATGGGAAGTCAAGAACAACAGACCAGAGTTTCTCATCAAATGGCAGGATCTACCGAGCAACAAAAACAGCTGGGTCCCTGAGGTTAAGCTTGACAGAGTCGCCATACATACCGGCAGGCTGACTAGAAGCGTGTACATGGACCCTAACCATACGAACAGTCCCCGTATGAAGCCCATGTGGCCTATATGCAGGAATATCGGGCCAGGATGCGATCTGTGGTTCACATGCGGGATAACCCTGGCTTTTACTTTTATAACTGACGACAGTTTTACGTTGATGTTTTAACATTCAAATAGAAACGTATTTCGACGTGAGGCCATGTCTTTCTCGAAAGGGCAGCAATTGTCACGTATATAGTTACTTCAGGGTACTCTGTTTTGACAAGGTGTTAACTTTCAAGATTATACCTTTTCGATTGCTTCACTTTTGTAAAGTGTTGAGGTTCATCTCCTTAGGTTAATTTAGACTATCCTAGCCACAAACTTTATTATGAGATTTATAATTTTAATTGGTCATCCCCTTGATCAATATCCGCCACATCAATTAGCCCAAGGCAATGTTATTGTTTCTCTATTCTGTCTGTCCATTGTGGTCTCTTCGTCAGTCCATTATTGTTTTTACTATATATATATTCACATCTATACTGTCAGCCTGGTACTCCGACTGCACCTGTATGTGCGGCCGTGAGTAGGATAACCCTGCTTGCTGGACTTTTCGCGTCATAGTAAAGTTATACTCACTGCTCGACTTATTTCTTAATGATTCACAAAGTAGCTATATTGTCAAGCATTCCGGTATTCCGACTGTCTGTGTTGGGACAACCGCGAGCAGGATCACACTGCTCGGAGGACACGTCTGGGGTTGAGCAGGAACTCCGCTCACCTCATTTATGTACACTTGTTTGCCATGTCTTGTGTAACCAACTAAAGACGTTTGGACTCAACTATTCCTTCGTCTTTGTCAACGTATTGTTCGTCTTAATTCTGAGCTAATTCCCCTGTCGACCATATACCACGCGTTGACACAAATACTTGCAATGTCATGAATATGTCACTCTTATTGCATGTCATTTTGGGCATTATATATTTGATATGTATATTTTTGAAAGCAAGCTGACGCCACAGGCAATGTCCCCGGAGTGACCAGATCTGTCACATATATATTTGTTCAGGTCACACTATGGACATTGCCTGTGGCGTCAATGTTTTTTCATCTGTTTTCGTCAGTGAGAGAGGTCTTTCAGTTCACAAGCTTAAACCACTCGTGTTCCCAGCCAATCTATCTCATTACAACACAATATCTACATATAACAGCCGGTGGTGAACAAACTCTATCAATATTCATAACAGGAGACAAACAATATACTGTAGTCACGGACAATACAATGATACGTTCACCACAGTCATTTCAACAATACTGTTACCCACTTATCCTTCCTGGTCAGTCCTATGACCGCTATATCCTGCTTGGACAGTACCATGGTCCTTATGTCCTCCCTGAACAATACTGTATCCCACTGTGGTCAGTACTGAGACCACTAGATACACCCTTGAGATTACTATGATTTCTATATATCTTGGACAATAACATGACACCCCACCCACTCCACCACACACACACACACACACATATCTTCCCTGGCCTGAGACCACTATAACCACCCTGGATCTTCCCTGGTCAGTACAGTGACCACCATATCATCCCTGGACAAGACTATGCCCACCTAACTTTCTGTTCAATGCTGTAACCTCCCCTATCTTCGTTGGACAATACTATGACCCTCCCTATCTCCCTGGTCAATAGTATGACCATATCCATACATTATTACCCACGTGGTCAACGTATGGGTAGTTGCATACTAATCTCGTACGTCACACGAGTGTCGTATGGCGTTGACCTGTGTCGTAACGACTTGACCTGAGATTCTAACGATTTGACTGGATAACCGATGACCTCTCAATTAGGTCACATTCTGACGTAACTATTTTTTCATTCATAACAAACACGTGAATTCATTCATTCTACAACTTAAATGCATTGTGGGAATGTAAACATTGCGAACGTTGCCGTGTCGCTGTTTAATTGTGAGTCGAACTGAGACATTATATCCGTCGAAAAACATAAACGCAATGTTTCCACCAGTGATGTTAGCCGAATGAAGCAACTGCAAACCAAGAAACGGGGTGCTACGGAGTAATTTACTGTAGGAGGCTGTACGAGGCGATGACAACTGACATGCATCCTGACGTCGGTTACCAAGGCAGTGACGTCATTACAGTGTGACGTCATGCAAATATTGTACTACAGTACAAAACTCTTCCGCAACCTCTTTATGAAACCGGTTTCGGTTTGAAACCAAAAAATAACAAAAATACGCAATTTTGTCAATTTATTGCATGTAAGACGTGGGTAATAAATAAAATACCACACTCGGTCTCATTACATACGAATTCTATATAGCCATCCTGCATATAGGTATTACCCCCATGAAGAGACGAGTTACAGATTGGGAGAATAGGTTGAAGAACTGGGTTTATTGTATGCTATCGTAACCTGTCCGTGTCCATCATTGCTCCTAACATCAGTCTCTCGTGTGGCCTAGAACTGGATCATTTGCATCATATAACTGGAATGTTGGTGAGCATGGCGCTAAGCAGAACCACCCCACCCCCCACCACCCCACCCCAGCCCAACCAAAAGGAATCAACCCGCCAACTGATTACCCATAAGTTCTAGACCAGTTCTTATGTGGTCTAGTGGACGCACACGTAGACAATCACACACGCAATAACCTCAAAGGCGACGTCTTCACCACACTTCACTCTCAATCACTCACTCTCATCTCTCATTCACTCAAAGTCAACAACAGTGTTAACCAGCTGTCCGACAAAGTGAACCTGCCATCCAAACATCACCCATAAACAACAGAACGTTTAATTACAAAGCACAAGTGACAGAAAATCATTGTTAATTAGCATATCATTGACCCGCTGAACGCTGAGCCGCTTTAATAATCCCGTTATTTGAGAGGTCACAGACAGTTCTGTATGAGTTATGGTGCTGGAGATGATCTCTATTACATCACAGCATTCATATAGCAGCCAGTCCCAGTCCCATCCAGCTACAACCGTTAGAGACGGCATACACGGCACAGACACCAGCCGTACGTCACATCGGTTTCCACTGTTTATTTCCTTATTCGATATCGACCGCAGTATGATGAATTTAAAGAAAAAGTTGCAAATAAAAAATGAACTTGCTAGACAGATCATTGCTGAGTTTTGGGGGACATTCATCCTCGTGGTAAGTACTTCGTGATCGCGATGGTCCATGTTTATGTAACTTCAATGTCATTTTTATTATTTATAACTGAATTCAGGATCCTTGAGACGAGAATGCAGTGTCTGTATTGTATTCCAAACCTACAAAGTTGCAGTGAACCACTGAGATATGAAGACTTTGCGGTCTTTGAAGATGTTTCTTCGTTATATTTTTTGGCCATCAACCGAACGTTCTTGTGAAACACGCGTGTTGTTTGTGTTTGGATCTGCTATCACTGTTTATCAATACTAAAAGTTTTACGAAACTTCAGACATTAGACAATGACTTGGACATGAGAACTGCGGAATTTAGCAATTCTCTGGCTTCCTGTTGAAATTACTCTCCTGTCTTGCAATTAACATATTTGGAGGTATAATATTTTGTTGAAAACTGAGCACATAATTGTATTAAAACATCCCCCGATTGTTCACGATCCCTCATTTTTGTACACTAACAAGACCCTTGGGGAGATGCCACTCTAGGGTGCTGATGTCACTTCCTTGATCTCTCTCTACTACTCTGTAAGAATTAAATGAAGTTTAGCCGAACTGTAACATGTTTATTTCTACCTTGTTGCTGAAGACCTTCTCAATAGCATCTGGGGCCCAGTACGTGCTCAGTGGTCAGGAGCTATCCAGTTACCTGTCCGTCAGCTTCGCAGGGGGCTTGGGTCTCACCCTTGGTATCTACTGGTCTGGAGGGGTGTCAGGTGAGTGACATTGTTCTCACACTTGGTATCTACTGGTCTAGAGGGGTGTCAGGTGAGTGACATTGTTCTCACACTTGTATCTACTGGTCCGGAGGGGTGTCAGGTGAGTGACATTGTTCTCATGCTTGGTATCTACTGGTCTGAGAGGAGTGACAAGTTTTCATGACAAGTTCTCTCATGCATGGTATCAGGTGGAGGGGTGTCAGGTGAGCACAAGTTCTCATACTTGGTATCTACTGGTCTGGAGGGGTGTCAGGTGAGTGACAAGTTTTCATACATGGTATCTACTGGTCTGGAGGGGTGTCTGGTCTGGTAGGGTCTGGAGGGGGTGTCAGGTGAGTGACAAGTTCTCACACTTGGTATCTACTGGTCTGGAGGGGTGTCAGGTGAGTGACAAGTTCTCATACTTGGTATCTACTGGTCTGGAGGGGTGTCAGGTGAGTGACAAGTTCTCATACTTGGTATCTACTGGTCCGGAGGGGTGTCAGGTGAGTGACAAGTTCTCATACATGGTACCCATTTGGAGGGATGTGAGGTGAGTAATATGAATTAAACGGAAGTTATGCTGGCAATTCAACAAAACATATGAGGATATAAACAACCCAGAACTGGGTTTACTTTTCACAACTGAGAATATTATTGTATGAATGATCACATTAAATGGGCTCCTGTCAGATAAGTTCACATGGCTTAACTGTTTTCACAGATCAAGCATAAGCTAACCAATTATTCGGGCAACTAATTGTTCTCCGTGTCAGGTGAAAGACAGTATATGTGCTGAAGTTTGTTTCAGTGTCTATATTATTGCAGCCTGTAATGTTTTTCCTTGGAGGGTCAGTTATATATATACCTGTGTGTTTCAGGGGGGTGCCTGAACCCCGCCGTCACCATGGCGTTGTGTCTGCGGGGGACCATCCCATGGTACAAGTGGCCCTTCTACACCGTGGCCAACCTGGGAGGGTCCTTCTTTGCTGCAGCGGTACAGTATCTGCTTTACTTCGGTGAGACACATCAGTTTGTATCTCCATTTGTTGTATAACGCCGCACTCAGCAATATCCCGTTCATGTGCGGAGCAAACAAGTCTGGACCTGACAGTCTAGTGATTGATATTATGAGTGTCAATCTACGCAACTGGGATACGATAACCAGCAGGATCCAAGTCGGCGAGCCAGACCACCCGATCCCCGGTAGCTGCCACTGACGACACATATGGCTTGCTGTTCTATTCATCTCTCATAACTGGAGACTGATAAGACTACACGGCGGGATCGGGTGGTCAGACTCGCTGACCTGGTTGACACGTGGTGTCATATCCCAACTGCGTATATCGATGCTCATGCTGTTGATCACTGGATTGTCTGATCGAGACACGATTATTTACAGACCGCCGCCATATAACTGGAATATTGCTGAGTACGGAGCTAAACAAGAACAAGAACAAAAGAACTTACTCGGGAAGCGATGTGTTGAACGTTAGGTCAGGTATAGCACACCTGGCAACGTTGTGTAAGTGGTACTTAGAGCACGACAAACGCTCATGTATGATATCCGTCTCTGTAGTGTAAGGCAGCTCCACCCAAGTACATGCTGTACACAATGTTACTGTTTTAACCAGACGCCCTGAACCATTACGACGGTGGCCTTAGATCGACCACGGGTCCGACAGCTACTGCCGGGATATTCGCCACGTACCCACAGCCGTATGTGACTACTGCAAGCTGCTTCTTCGACCAGGTGAGCTAAGACGGATTTAGATAAACTTCTTCACAAAACTATTTAAATCAAAACGCATCATCATTCACTGCTTCTCCTTTTGTGGAGTGAGTGAGTGAGTGAGTTTAGTTTCACGCTGCTTTTAGCAATATTCCAGCAATATAACACAGGTCACCAGAAATGGGCTTCACACATTGTACCCATGTGTGGAATCCGCGGTGATACGACTGGAATATTGCCGAAAGTGGCGTAAAACCACACTCACTCATTCACTTTTGTGAATGTAGATTTTAGGTCCATCTATGTGAGTAGTATGTGAGTACCATGCTGTGTGGGAATTGTGAGATTTGTGTGAATGTTGTTGGAATTGTGTGATTGCTGTGTGTAAACTCCGAGATTTGGTATATGAGGGAGAATAATGCGAGAACTCGACTGGGAATAATGTGATTACTGCCTCAAAACTGTGTGATACTGACTACTTTCCCAGTGCTAGAATTCTGCCCTTCAGGTATTTGGCACGTTCATCCTCCTTGGATGTGTGTTGGCAATCACAGACAGGCGCAACATGGCCCCTAGTGACGGCTTCCTCCCCGTGGCTCTCGGCTCCATCATGCTCGGCATGGGGACCTGCTTCGCCCTCAACTGCGGCTACGCCATCAACCCAGCAAGGGACCTCGGCCCCAGATTGTTCACTGCTGTGGCTGGCTGGGGGTCAGAGCCTTTCACGTAAGCTGCATCCCGAATCATTATGTAGTTTCTGTTTCTGACAGTTTCACCTTACTCCTGTCAAACAGGAAAGTATGACTAGTTCACGCTTGAATTTGTCCGCACCCAAATCAGGAGTCAGAACTGTGGGGAGAAATCCTTCGCGAAACAAGGTGCGTTTGTTTGTTTAACGCTGCAGTCAGCAATGGTTCATTTATATGGCAAAGGTCTTTAAATAATCGCGTCTGGACAAGACAATCCAGTGATTGTCATGATGAGCATCGACCTACGCATTTAGGATACCGTGTCATATATCAACCAAGTCAGCGATTCTGGCCACCCGACCATTTTAGTGGCTTCTCACGACAATGATGCGTTGTTGAAAGTGTTGATGTGTTGCTTTCACTCATATGCTGCTTCCTTATTTAAAAAGATAAGACAAAACAAACCGTTGCTATGTTTTTCATTGTCATGATCAATAAGCTCAATCTGTCCGATGACAACTCAGCACATGCAGGGTAATGTGGGAGGGGAGCCCGAAGTAATGCAGGCCTCAGATATCACTACAGGTGAAACTCGGTATGGTGCTGAAAGCATGAAGACTGGCTCCTAACTGGGAACGTGTACAGTTCTAAAGAACTCAGATGCATGCTGAATACGTCGTCTTAGACCACTGAATATTCATGAATGTTACGTGCGTAGACAACATCTTAGACAACATTTTGACCCGTGAAGGCCCATGTTTGTCGTAAGAAGCGACTCATGGGATGGAGTGATCAGGCTTGCTGACAAGGTTGACACGTCATCGCATCGAAGTTGCGTAGATCGATACTCGTGCTGTTGATCACTGGATTGTCTGGCCCTGACTTGATTATTTACAGACTGTCGCCACATACGTGGAATGTTGCTCTGTGCGGTGTGAAACAACATACAAACAGACACCATCTTGAACTGTTCCAGATTCCGGGGGTACAACTGGTTCTGGGTTCCCCTGGTTGGCCCGATGGTTGGTGCCGTACTGGCCTGGCTGGTCTACACCATGTCTATAGAATTACACTGGCCAGACGGGGACAAGAACACCAACGATGAACAAGTGGTCAGTGTAGCAACTGTGGACAAGGGTCACATAAACCCAGCCTTCAACTGTGGTAAGTGTACACACAAACATGACTAATGCAGCTTACTTTAAGGTCTCTGTCACGAAACTGTTTAAGGGTTTGCTCGTGGGCGAAAAGTTACGGTATCAAAAATAATTCCTTCACACATCTGGGCAATGGACTAGAGGGTCTGCCTGTTGCCAGCAGTTCAAATTCGTAACTAATAAGTAAAGTCATGCGTGTTTCAAGCCAATGCTATACAGGAGGGGAGGTTGAATGTAAAGGGAAGTGTGTGATCCAGTTATGCTATCAACTTGTACCTACGTGGACAACGTGTTATGGTTTTATATAGCGTAGCATAACCTTTACAGTGTCACGATTTGGCACACCAATATTGGCCAACAATCGAGCTTGTGTTCTGCCGTGACGAGAACGCTTTAAACACTAACTTTTGATGAGGATGTACATTATTGTAGATACCCCCGAGATGTCGCATACTCGTTTGTGATGCTTCTACGAGACGACCCGTATCCGGCTGTGATGCAGATGTCCACGAAACGTCCAATACTAGCCAGTGATGTTCCTGGAACACCCCATACCCGGCCGAAATGTTCTCAAATCAACCAACACCAACTGTGATATCGCTGTTCTATGGTATTGTGTGTACAGCATTATACAAGCGTGTTCATGCCGAAGTGTCCGCCATGCAGAGATGTCCGCCATGCAGAGGTGTCCGCCATACGGAGGTGTCCGCCATGCAGAGGTGTCCGCCATACGGAGACAAAGGATAGTTCTGGAAAATTACCATATTGTCGTAAATCATAAATATATTTTTACTTACCTTCTTGTTCGTTCATTGGATGATTGCCTCAGTATGTACGTCTAGATAATAATATTTGTTTTGTTGAAGCAATGTTAAAATATGGTCAGTTAGCATGATGCTTATGACTGCTGCTCCCGACCCCACAGGGGTACAATGTGTTTAGCCAATTTCTGGTGTCCCCCACTGTGACATTGCTGGCATATCGCTAAAAGCGGCGTAAAACACACTCACTCACACACACTTTCATTTGATGTCGGTGTTCCTGGGACACACACACACACACACACACACACACACACACACACACACACACACACACACACACACACACACCCAGCTGTGATGTAAATGTTCCTAAGGCGTACGCTGCCGTGATGTTGATGTGATACCCAATCCATAGCTTTGACGATGAGACGGCACATATCAACCTGTGATGTTGATGGTTCTGAGATATACCTAACAGGGCTAGGATGTTTTAACTTTAAAGACATCCAGCTCCAGACTGTAATGTTGATGTTCTTGAGACGTTTCAAGTCAGCCTGGGAAGCAGATGTTTTGTGAGAGACTCCGTACATTGCGGGCACTCGTGGTTCATTTCTACATACAAATGAATGAGTGAGGATATATAGGCGAAATAACATGAAAACGATGGAATATCTGCGATAAAATGGTTCCAAAATCAATGCACTGAGAAAATGTACACTAATTAGCAATAGCAGGAATATAAATAAAACCGTGGCTGAGCAGCAACTCATTTTGATCCATGAATCAATGCAATAGGACATGATCTGACTACTGACTAATTAAAACAGTTTAAATCATAGGATGATCAGATTACGCCATATTTACCAGTTTGCTGAACAAACCCTAGCGCTTGGATCGATGATACAAAGGATTTGGGCCAAGTGTCTCGGCTACAGAGAATTTGTAATCTGATGTTCAGCCTTAAGTTGCAGCGAGCAAAGCATTCTAAAACACCGAGGTTCAAAGTCTTGGATACCTGATCATTACTATGACTTGAGATGAGACTGATCTTTACTTTAAAAAAATGGATGAGCATGGGGATAATGGTGACTTAGTCGATGCCGTGTGAAAATAACCTCATCACTTCTATTCTTCGTCTGTAATTTTGTCATTGGGAACATCGAGTGCACATGACGATCCAAGCCAACCATCTCAGATTTTCTAGTCCAGACATAACAAAAGATTGTGGCTTAAGCACTGACCAGGAAACATTTCCTTTCTTGAACTCGCCTTTTGAAGCCTGTTTGACATTTCGTTCCTTTCAAGCACACAAGGCCTAGCATCCATGATCACACGATATAATAGTTAAAAAAGAATGTGTAAAATCTTTCGATTTATGCAAAATGACACTTCCATATCCAGTTGCCCCAGACTGAACAGCAGGTACAGCTGCCACGGGGTCTGAAACAATTACTGTCTCGTTGTTGTCGGTAACCCACTAATACGTTTAGAGAATAGCAACCACTTCATCACCAGACACAGAGAGGAGATCGAGACGAAATGTCAGCTCTGGGATCTGAAATGTTTCAGGAGGTACAGTTCAAATATCCTTAAAAGCATTGTTAGATGACAAACGTATTTCTCAGTAAGAATATGAGCACTATAATTAGTCATACTTTTATGGAACCAAGGGATCTGTGTACACGTTCCTGGTGTAAGAAGGCACCATGGCGGGGATTATAAAGACGACACATGGTGCATGGACATAGACACACGCGTCTCGGTGGAAGTGCGATAATGCCGAACACGACGTTAAACCCTATTTCTCCTCGGCTCAATATCATATGACTTCCCGTACTCCTGGCAACCAAACGACCCTGGGGCTTCTGTTTGGAAACGATCATGCTGGTCTCGGCTTCCAACCTTTCTAATTCCGAAATGATTCTAGGAAAGGATCGTATTGCTCTCAAGATATTAGTTATAAGAGTTGGTGACTATTTTCTCCACGACTTACACAGGTTGGATTTCAAGCAATTAACCGATACAATACAGGCAAAGGAGTGTGTTCGTCTGAATTCTAGAATTACAATTGCACGTTTCAATGCACAGTGTTTGATAGTGTTCAAGTCGTCCAGATGGTAGTTAGCAACGGATAGTGAAGAATAAGAGAAAAGCTGAAATATTAATGAAATCATGTTATTGAAATATGCTGTGAGCCCATGGTGTGTGTGTGTGTGTGTGTGCGTGTGTGTGTGTGTGTGTGTGCGTGTGTGTGTGTGTGTGTGTGTGTGTGTGTGTGTGTGTGTGTGTGTGTGTGTGTGTGTGTGTGTGTGTGTGTGTGTTGGGGGGATTGAGTTGTATTCGCACTTTACGGACATGATATCAGGTAACTTTTCGAAATACTCATCCTTTCATGAATGTATATAGAAAGATTACCTGAACAATTGACTTTGTTCGATTGATGAAAAAGAAAATCAAGCTTAAAGTATGCTGGTAATATTACTATTAATATGGGGCGTGGTGGGCGAGCTAGCTAAGGCGCCAGGTTAGTGATCCAGCGAGCATGAAGTGCCGGGATCGCCCACCTGTGCCCGGGTGTAAAAACCTTGGAGTCAACTTTGTGTGCAGACTCTTTCAGTGTTACGTATGTTATACTTGGGATAACACTTTCTTAGTAAAGTACAGATTCTAGTACATTTGGTTTGAATCCCATCCGGGATTCGAACCCACACCCTCAGAGTCAGGCACCTAATCGCCAGCACACAAAGTCAGACGCCTAGACCGCTCAGCCACCGCGGCTTCTTTCAGTGTTGTCACAATCCCTAATGCACAGTACACAACCCTGTGCACTTAAAAGAACCCACGAATCCGTTGGTATATGTATTAAATAGCAACTCATCCCAAGGTTAATATGTAAAATGAACGCCCGAGCAATCTTAATCCCATTATTCTCCTGTCTGTTATATCACTGGCTTCCTCCCACTAATTCCCTATAGCTTACTCTGTTTGTGTAACAATTGCCTTCTTGTGTAAACATCCTCCAACCTTGTACATCAACCTCATTAATTGTGCAAACATCAATCACTTACTGTTCAACTTTACTATGTATATATATATACCTTGCCTCTAGTATTGTACATCATTTGCTTGATAACGGTGTTAGTAGCTACACCGAAACGTCGCTCATATTATATTAAAGAAGTTGTATATCCATAGAACTCTCCTCGTTGTTCATCACACCAACTTCTAAATGCCACTCAAACGAGTTAACATATCAAAAGGAAACGAAAACAAAAACAAATCACAGAAATACAACTCAGTTGTGAGCACATGGTGTTTAGAATAGTCAAGCTCATTCGTGTGCAAGATGTCGACTGAGTCGAATGATGAGCTGGTTGCAGCTAGACAAAATATTGAGCATTTAAGTCAAGTCTTGGGACCGGAGACTACCAAAAACATGGATATTTCGTCTAATTATTCCGATATTAGAGACGATGAAGACGCCGTTGAAAATACCCGTTACAAGTTCCTGTCAATTGACTTGGATATTGAAGAGCGCGCACAGGACGCCGTACCCAAGAACACACGTCGGAGGAACAAATGGGTGGTGAATACCTTCAGCGACTTGGCTATCTGGAGGAATAACAACCGCCTTAATGAAGAGAAGATTCTTACCACGCTTGATTTCATGGATGACGCACAGCTATCATTCTGGTTGATTAGGTTCGTGAGGGTGACAACAACGACCAAACTCTAAAAGGGATCCCCGAACAGCTCATAATGGATCGAACTGGGCACAGGTGTGTTAAAGCTAAGTTGTTTCTTGTTTGATTAACAAATATACACAGTTCGTGCTAAATCCTTTTGATTGGACAACATGAAACTATTTGAAATATTACTATTTAAGATTTTTTATATTATTTTTGGGGTTATCGGGAGGCGGAAAGAAATAATATTGCCTCCTAACATATATATATAAGTATCAATGAACTTGTTTGAATTTTAAAAATGGGCGAATGTGGACTGAGTTAATATATTCATAGTATCGTTTAGTCATGTTCATGTTTGTCACAAATTGCATAGAAAAACCCATTGTAATTAATCATTTTCAAAATTAATGGTCATATCCTGAATAACACAAATACTACAAAGTAACATCCAACTCTATTTTGCAGGTTGTCGTAACTACAAACGGACATCAGAAGACCAGAAGATAGAGGTCGGCGCCGTGATTAACAGTTCTCCGGCCAGGGCCCCGTTCCTCAAAGCGATCGTAGCGCTACGACAGTCGTAAGTTAATGATCAAGTATGGGAGTTACGATCACGTTAGCGCTACGATCGTTTTGTGGAACAGGGCCCAGGGCAACAGCAACTACTGACTGTAGTACAGATGTCAGTGAGAGGACTGATACCGCAGCCCCGAGAGAGATCAGATGCACGTGTGATGTTCCTCCATCAATGCCAGGCGGAATCATTTTGGCATCAAATTGCACTATCAATAGAGATATCACAATCGCAAAAACGTATTACGTTTTTTAAGAGCTAGGTATAAATATTTTCCCAGATCAATTAATGACAATTATATTCCTTGACATTAACAGTTGAAACAGCTTCTCATGTGATGGGAGATTATAGTAATATTTGGGAATTGTATTTTCTCTAATACCATTGTAAAATGGACACTCAAGGCAGAAATGATATTCATTTTCAACAGTGGGAATGATACAGAAAGGACACAAGCGATCACTTCGCTCAAGACCAAGCCGTCTACCGTATTCAATCATCAACATATGACTGGAGCTTCGGAATTTACTTACAGCAATGAGAAATACTTTAGTCTTGATATGGCTGGTGTAAAACTCATAGGAGACATTATCTTTAACGTTATGTAGAAAGTCGAGTTTTGAAAAGCACAGAAG